TCAATCTCTTTTGTGAAGAAACTCCTTATCTCGTTGAATTGTTTATCTGTGTTTTCTTGTATTTCATTGAGCTTTTTTATGATAGCTATTTTGAAATCACTGTCGTTTAGGTTATGGATTTCTGTGCCTTCAGGGTTGATTTCTGGGTGCTTGTCATTTTCCTTCTGGTCTGGCAATTTAATGTAGTTTTGCATCACGGTTGCTGTATTGTCTTTGTTTTCCCTTGTCCTGGAAATATCTGGTTTCAGTTTCCACCTGCCATCACCGTGTAGGGGTGTGTAATCTGAGCCCCCTGTGCTCCGCCTTGGCTATTCCGCTGCCACAGGTCAACCGCACTCCGCTCTGCCTCGGCTGTTCTGCCACCACAGGCCACCCGGGCTCCGTGCCAGCTACTCCGCCGCCACCACCGCCCTTGCTTTGCCTCGGCTGTTCTGCTACCGTGGCTGCCTGCACTCCGCCCTGGCTACTCTGCCACTGCCGCAGGCAGCCTGCACTCCGCCCCAGCTGCTCCGCTGCCTCGGGCTGCCCACACTCTGCCCCAGCTGCTCAGACTGGTCGGCTGAGCTGCAGTGTCAGGCATACGGGGTGGGGGGCTCTCTCTTTTGCCCGCTGGGTCTCTGGGTGGGATGGGGGCTTCTCACTCGCCCCTCGTTATCCACTCTCTTGGGGTGCTCAGATGTTGATGGCACCCCTGCAGCAGTTCTTTTTTTTTTTTTTTAAAGATTTTCCTTTTTTTTTTTTTTTCTTTTTTTTCCCCCAAAGCCCCAGTAGATAGTTGTACATCATAGTTGCACATCCTTCTAGTTGCTGTATGTGGGACGCAGCCTCAGCATGGCCAGAGAAGCGGTGTGTCGGTGCGCACCCGGGATCCAAACCCGGGCTGCCAGTAGCAGAGCACGCGCACTTAACCACCAAGCCATGGGGCCGGCCCACCTGCAGCAGTTCTGAGTCCTCTGTGTGGAGTTTCTCACTGGCTGAGAGAGCCTGAAGAGCTATGGTTTTCCTGCAGAAGGCCACCCCTCCACTCTCTCTGGGAGCCGCATGACCCGAGTCGCCGATCTGGTGGGGAGGGAGGATTTCTCCTTACCTCTCCCCACTTCCTCCGGGGGCCCCAGCACATCCACTCTCAGATGTGCAGCAGTGTGGGTCTCTCCGATGTCTCTTTGTGCAGTGTGAGTGTCTCTTGTTGGTCTATGCTTGACCCTTTTGTTGTATCTTATCGGGGGAAGAGTTTACTGGAAAGCTCACTCTGCCATGATGCTGACGTCACTACCCCTAGATATATTTTTTAAAATAACTTTTAAAAAATATTATAACTAAATAACATTAGTTGATGGGGGAAAGCTAATTGTTTTCAGAAGAATTCCAGCTAATTAAGTGTAGAAGGAAAGACAGAGAATCACAATATTTGGTGAAAATGATTCAGGCCACAAAATCATTAGTGACAGACTGTTGAGGAACTGGATGCCAGAGTACCTCTGCACAGACTGCTTGTTCGTTGTGAGGGACACAGCTTCATGTTGGAAACCCACTGACCCAGTGTCGGCATCCTGAAAAGGAGAACAACCAGACCAGCCAGACTGTATGGTTCCTGATAACAAAAAGGTTGATCCTTAATCAACTCAGGCCTTTAGATCTAATTTCCAGTTTGCAAGAAATATAGGGAAAGAGAAAAGGAAACAATTAGACAAATCCAGAACGTGGAACATCCTATAGCACAACTGACCCAGTTTCTTAAAAGTCAACAGCAGAAGAGGGAAGAGAAGACTGTTCTAAATTTATAAAAACTTGGCAAAGTATTTTAAATCTTGATGGTATCCATTATACTATTTTTCTGCTTTTATGTATTTTTGAAATAAAAAATTTAAGTATATATGTTCATTGTACAAATTTTTCAATTAATTCAAAAATATATAATAGAAATAAAGTTCTTATTCCTCAAAGGTAACCAGTTTGGAATATGACATGATAGATTTTTATCTTATACATATTTAAACACCCATTTATATAATTTTTAAAAATTATTTGAGGTCATAATGGTTTATAACGTGTAATTTCAGGTCTACATTATTATATGTCAGTTTCTGTATAGAGTGCATCATGCCCACCACCGATAGTCTAGTTTTTATCCATCACCATACATATGTGCCCCTTTACCACTTTTACCCACCCCCGCACCCCCTTCCCTTGTGGTAACCACTAAACTGTTCTTGTCCATGTATTTGTTTATCTTCCACATGTGACTGAAATCACACAGTGTTTGTTTTCCTCTGTCTGGCTTATTTTGCTTAACATAACACCCTCAATGTCCATCCTTATTGTTCCAAATGGGACGATTTTGTCTTTTTTAATGGCTGAATAGTATTCCATTGCATATTGCTCTGCAACTGTACTATATGTTATATCTTATGTGTATATACAATAGTAATAAATATAATATTATATAATATATGCATATGTGTGTGTGTCCCTATTTCTGTAAGATGAATTGCTAGAAGTGGAATTCTTATTAGTGGAATTTATAGGTCGAGGAGGGTAGTGATTTTGTTTTACTAGTATATGTTTCCAGTAACAATGTATTGAAGTATCTGTTTACCCACAGACTGTATGCTACTGGGTATTATCAATCTTTTAAATCCCTTAATCTAATAAACCCAATAAAGTTTATCTTTTATGTGGAAGCAACCCAAATGCCCATCAATGTATGAATGGATAAAGAAGATGTGGTATATACATACAGAAAATGATATATAATAATGTACACCTGAAATTATATGATGTTATAAGCCAATATGACCTCAATAATTTTTTTTAAAGTTTATCTTCTGTGATTATGTCAAGCAAACAAGCAAGCAGGGTCAAAGCCAAGACCTGACTGATTCAGCAAGTATAGATATAACAAGCTCATTTTAGATTAGATGGTTTATCACTTACATAAACAGCAAGAGGAAGAGTAGTCAAAGAAAGATGCCAGCTCCTCTTGGTCCTTGTCCCACACTCCAAAAGGAGCTAGATAATTGTAATGAGTTGTGGGCACATCATTGCTGAGGAGCTGATTCTCGAGGCCCCCTAGGGGGATTTTTAGTCTGCAGCTGTATCCTGAGCCTCGTACCTCATCAGAACTGGGAGGTGATGAGAAACCGTCTCATGACAGCCTACCAGGGAGACAGGGAGGCAGCGGGGAGAAGGCCTGCTGGCAGCTCCTCACAAGCCTCCCTTCCTCTCAGGTACCAGCAGCATCACAAGCGTTCTGCCAAGACTCACTTAGCTACGGTTCAAGCAGAGGACATCAGGATATTGGAAGTTACTCAAGATAATGGCAGGGCTAGCAGTGGAAAGGGAAATCCTGAATCACTTGAATGAGGGGAGATACTGGGCATCTGGTGAGTGGCAGAAATGAGGACAGGTAGGAGGCTAGCCAAAAGACTGTATCTCAAAGAAACTGAGTTTTACACAGAGGTATAGAGGTAATGGCCTGCAAGTGGTAGTGTGGAGGAAGACAGAGAATGACGTTACACCTTTCACAAAAAATAACTGAAAATGGATCAGAGACCTAACTGTAAAATGCAAAACTATAAAAATTCTAGAAGATAATGTAGGAGAAAACCTAGATGACCTTGGGTTTGGTGATGAGATTTTGAACACCACACCAAAAGCAAGATCAATGAAAAAATTGCTTGGGACACCTAGTTTCTCTAAGGAACAAGAATGTTTCTCTACATAACAAGAGATCGGCAGACTGGGAAGCACATCAGGGAGTATGCATGCCAAGGGCCAAGGTCTGGATACCCAGTGCCCTGGAAACAAGCTTGCATGCCAGGAACACTGACATCAGCCAAAGACCTGTTTCTTCCCAGCTTGCTCAGTCCAGGTGGGCCAGTTCTTTACTAGACTCCTGAAAGGGGAGAAGGAAATGAGCCTCCAGGACCATCCAGATGTGTCTTTCATCACCTTAAAACATTTAAACACCAAAAATCTGTAATATTGTAATTTTTATTTTATTATTACTTGGTTCATTAAAATAATCAAGTCTGCTTCCATTTATTTTAAAGTGACTGATTGCTACATTGAATAAAATGATAATTAAATTTCATTATACTTATCAATATCTGATTATTTTATACATAGAAGCATGAAAAAAGTATAAAATACAACTTCATTTGATTCAGGCTTGACTGTAATTAAGAACTCTGTGAAGAGGAGAAGTGGTATTTATGGGTTGGATTCCCAATAGCTGTTTCGTGGCAGAGTCCCAATCTTTACCCAATTCCAGCCGTTGGCAGATAGATGGATATTGTCCTTCAGTTCTTCTTACCCATTCACTTGCTTTCTTTATTTTCTCAAAAGCCCAGGGAATAGTCCTAAATTAAAAAAAAAAAGTTTCCATCAATTTCAGAATATAATTACATATGAAATGTAATGTGGCACCAAATCCAGCACATTATATCAGACAAAATAATATTGTCAAAAGATAATTTAATAAAAGTAGTCGTCTTTGACATTTGATGAAAGTTCTTCTACCAGCCTGACATAGTGCTTTTAACTTATTCAGTACATTCTTATGTACGCTACACCCATCACTCTCCAGCTTCCACTGTGCCTCCCACACTTCCTGGCTGTCTCCAGGAGACCCCACACTTTCCAGCCTTTATATATTGGTTTGTGACCCCTTCCCATTCTCCATCTTATTCCTATCCATTCTTCAAGTACAAGCTCAATACTGTTCTACAAACTAGGCTTCCATTTCTCTCTCCTTTTTACTGTACCAGGAATTGATTAGTTCCTTGCAAAGAATCTGAGAGTTACCTAATGAAACTCACATACATTTAATTCTATTACACAAACCAGGAACAACTGACTAGTAAAAAGATATTCCATGCTCTTGGATTGGAAGAATTAACATAGTTAAGATGTCCATACTTCCTAAAGCAATCTACAGATTCAATGCAATCCCTATCAAAGTTCCAACAACATTTTTCATAGAAATAGAAGAATCCTAAAATTTATATGGAACAACAAAAGACCCCGAATAGC